ATTGAGCCATCCAGTAGTTCTCTGTTCTCGGTTTAAGCGTGATATTCCAAATGGCTGTCATCCGTAACTCAGTTAGGCTGACAAATTGGCTGCCTTTGACCATGCTCGAAGCTCAAAACTTGAAAGAACATGAAAGCGAGAAACAGAAGCAATAGCTCGAAAACGAGCCTCATGTTCGAACACGATACACGAAACAAGGGGCCATTTGTTCCGTAAGTTTCGAATCTGGATTCTAAATTCGCGAGACAACCGACCTTTAAATCAGATCTCTAAATTCCAATTAAATCCAAATTGTCGCTTAAAAAGAAAAATTCGCCAAAATAAACAGGTAAATTGGACGAATTTAAAGTCCTTCCGGGATAAGGATATGGTAAAGCCGTTGCCATAAGTGGCAGATCTTTAGGCAGGCGGCGAGATAGGATCGCGCAAGAGAGAAACGCAGCGACAAGAATGGAGGAGTGATTAGTACGTAAGTACAATTTATATCTTTGCAAGTAACGAGCCTGCATGTTTACGATGTTCATACGTCACGAATATCCGTGAATATTACCGTTTACCACGTTGAATTATTGCCGCGCTCGGCCATTTGCACGCACTGCGTGCAGAAGATTCCAGCTTAATCAGCGCGTTAACGCGTAATTTTCAGGAAAAAACCGCGATAGTTTATACGGAAACGCGGGTACGAGAACGAGAATGTCGTCGAGTTTTAGTGTAATTTGTGTGGAAACTTGTTTTGCTCGTTTGAGGAGGGAATTAAATGTCACGCTGCAAGTCTATATGCAAGTTTGTAGTAGATACGTTAAGTAAGAATGTTTTAACGATGGGTTTTTATTGAGATTTTATGAGTTTATGAAATTTTTAGAAGAAATTTCGCGCCTTCGAGTTCTGCGACGGCAGCTCTTCGATCTACCGCGCATGCACTTAACAGCATCCACGTCGACATTTCTTGTGACATTTAATATACGAAAGATAGTTATTTCGTCATTTTTATTGTTATTTATTGACGTCACTTTGAAAATAAATCTCGAAACACAATAGCACGCTATAATTACTAAGATAAAAGTTGGTTTGAAGGGATCATACAGGAGTGAATAAGCTGGATCATGCAGCTTTATGTCGTACGTTAAATCGAGTTTCGATTTTATCAGCGTATGCAATAGTCACCAGAAAATATATACACATTTTAATAAAAAAAAAAGACGATAATTTTAAACTACATTTTACAGATTTTTCAAGTTTCTTTTCATCTTTTAACATAACAGAATAATAAAGAAATAAAAAAGGAGATATGTACCCTTAAATCACATTCTCTAAAATTTTTAACTTAACAGAATAATAAATAATCAGAATAATGCTCAGTTGAGTTTATGTAATGTTTACCAGAAAATATAAGTTTCAATAAAAAAAAAAAAAAGAAGATACCCTTAAACCACATTCTCCAAACTTTGTAACTTTCATTTTATCTTTCAAAAATGAACAAAATAGTAGTAAACAAATTTCCCACGCAGATCTTCCAATGTACTCGATATTTTTGATATCTAATTTTTCGATCACGAAAAATTTCCAACAACCTCACCGATTGCACATAATCGAACCGCGGCTTCTCCCGCGATCTTCGAGGGCAAACGCGACGAGTCGGCGCGAGGATCGTAGATCATTTTAAACGAAGTTGAAAGTTCGAGGCGGGTAAACTGTTGCTTCGCCGTCTCGACTTGAAACGGGGAAAAAAGAATCGTACCTTGTTGGATCGACTGATCGAGCGGAGTATGTCTATTTCGGTAATGATTTATCACCCGTGGAACGTCACTTGCCGCTCGTCGGTTCAATTGGACAATTTAGAAAATCCGTGAAAGCCGCCGAAGCGAGGGTGGACGCCTTGGTGCGAACTGACTGCGACGGTTTCATTCAAGAAGGCGTCGGCGGTCGTCGCGACGCCCCACGCGCAAGCGCCACGACGGCGATCTTTTTTCCTTTATTCCTCCATTTGACGCACGCGCGCGCACACGCACGCCGACGACGACGCGTCGCGTCGCGTACCGATTTATTTGGATTAATTGAAATATACCCCCGATATTAATAGGCAGGCAACCGTCACGCGGAGTTGGTTCCGACGTGGAGAAAGAGAGATCCGTGCATTTCAATTAGGCGATGGCGGCACCCCTTTCAACCTTGCTTCCCTTGCGTCGCTCGAATAACACGCGCGATCATTATCCTTGTTCGAATGTTTCCACGAGGAAGAAGTATCCTCGAAGATCTCTTTTCGCGTTAGTGAAATAAAACGCGCCGACGTTCATTTTACCGAAGGATCTAGATTTTATGTATACTTTGGGAGCGAGGCGAAATTTCGTGTGGTTTTGGATCGATGTTCATAGTATGTGATGAACAAAAGAAAATATTTAATACTGGTTTTAGTCAAGGAAAGAATGAAACATTTGCGCTGACGTTCGTTCTACCGAAGGATCTAGATTCTGTGCAGTGGGAGCGAGGCGAAATTTTGACGGCAATTTCGTGTAGTTTTGGTTCGATGTTCGTGGTATGTGATGCGTGAAAGAAAATAGAAATATTTAATATTAGTTTTGGTAAAAAAAAAGAATTGATCATTTGCGGTGACAGAGTGACGTTCACTTTACTGAAGAATGATTCTAGAGAAAGTTTGCTGGAATAGAAGCTCTGTTTGGAGAATTCTTTGTAGATGTGAAAAAGTGTAAGTGTTATTTATCTATGATAATTTTACCGTAAATTAAATTAAACTTGTAATGACACAGAGGCTTGCTTTATGTTCAGATTTTTGTAAAATTTAGTAGATTTCAGTAAAATTCGGTAGATTTTAATAAATTTCAGAATTCGGTAGATTTCACTATGCTGCACATTCGGTAAGCGGTCACTAAACAATTTTCCACAAATTGAAAAGTGCTTTGCATACGATTATCCTAAGAGATTTATTTTCCCACAAACTTAGAATGTGCTACAGACAATTACTATTTAATCAATAGGAAAATTATTTAGGGAATGATTTGCAAATAGTGGCCTTCAAGTTTTTCACAACATTATTCCTGTGAAATAATTAATAAACACTGTCTTTCCATTTGCAAGAAAATTACTTTTGAAAAGTAATTTAAAAAATCCTATTTTTCAATTTACCGAAGAAATATTTTCGTGGGAAACATTGCATGTCACCTCAAAGTCGGATCTGTGAATTTCAAAGAACGTTGAAAATGGAAAATCGGATGTGAAAGGTGAAAAATAAGAGAAGTAAGAGGCAGGAAGTATAACGTATATTATTAGGAATGTGAAGTGTGTATTTGTGACTTACGAAGTGTCTTACGCGATGGTGCAGACTTAACACACTTAAGTATCTATTTGTGAGTTGTGAAGTGTGAAATGGGGTGTAGTTTGTGGAATATAGAGTCTGAGATATTGAACGATATGTGATATCTGTCAGAGTTGTGCAATGTAGAATGAAGGACGAAGGATGTAGGATGATGTGCAATATGAGATGTTTATATGACATGTGAAGTGTGTAATATGAAATGGGGAGTGTGAGATGTGTCATATGTAATATGGCATGTGGGATGTTATGTGCAGAATGTAGAGATATCTGATGTGGTATGTGAGTCGTGGAATGTTGGGGGAAAGAATGTCGTATATGGTCATCAGAATATGTTACATCAGATGTGAAATATCCAGAAATCCACCTTACAGTCAGGATTTAGTATTTTGCGATTTCTTCTTATTTAAAAATCTGAAAAAGAATTTTAGGGGTAAAAGATTTCCTTCAGATAACAAATTCAAATTTTGAAGAGCTGCCAGAAGAATTTTTTTTAACTGCAACAGCTCGACAAATTTTGGTATAAATAGAACAAGTGTAGTTACGTAGAAAAATAAAATTTCCTCCTAGCTAGGTAGGTTAAATAAAAATTTGCTCCCATCCATGTTCTTTCTAAGTAACAGGTAACGTTCATTTAGAGTTCCGACAGGTAAGTAATGCCAATCATTTTAGCAAGAAATTCCACAGTGGTAAAATGTATCATCGCTGCTTAATCGTATGTCACCGTGTACCATTTCCTCGTGCAGAAATTCAGACATTGAGGAAATGTTGCAATCAATTAAGTATAATCACGTCAACAAATTTCCAAGACGACTTCGACGCTTTTCCTGTTGACGAACAGATACAATACCGTTTAATCGTGTGAAATCTTAAGCTGTACCTCTATATTCGTTGAAATCAAACTAAAAAGAACTCGCAATTCTATATGGTGTTTACAATTTGTCCCGTTCAGATTTATCATAGCAATTTCTCGTCGTTAACAATACCTGCACGCGAGACATAATGTTCCTTTTCTGTGACAATTGTTCTAGTCAGTGAAGATATCATAGATCCAGGACTCTACGGGCAAAGAAGAAGAAAATTCACGGTAGATGGAATGTAGAAGGAGTCGAACGCCCCTAGAAGCTTCTGCCGGTCAAAAATAGACGTGGAATGACACGGGGAAGCGGATACCGTAATATTTTAGTGTCACCGAAATAAAACTGGGAGCCATCTGGCCAATTATACGAATGCATAAATCCGAACTGAATACCGGACAAGAAAACAAACTGGTCCCGTTTCTTCCCGGTTTACGACTTCCGATCGATCGATCCTCCTCGGCCAGAAAATTGGGCGACACGTCCCAAGTTGCACCAAGCTGAAACATGTTTGCGTCAATTAAAGGATTCTCACCTCGGAGAAATTATATAACCCACTTGCAAACTTCGTGTCATAGATTACAACTCTTTGAAGTTCTCCAATGGTCTTCGAAGTTTGCATTAGGTCAAGAAGAATCACTCGAGATTAACTTAAGAAACTGAAAACTTATCGTGTCGCGTGAAAACGCTCGACTTGTAAAAATGTGCAACGTAAGTGTATTCTCGAGTTTGTAATATAAATGTGATATTACATTTGAGAAATTGAACGTTTTTCCATGTTTGTGTCTTGATCGTTCTTATTTTTCTAGAGCTGAAGTAATCGGCCAACTAAATTCGTATGGAAAAGGAACATTAAAGATTGGAATATCGTGGCGGGCAGCCATCGCAGGCGTCTCGACGCCTGATCTGTTGAGCGACACGCGAGGAAAATTCTGCCGGTTGGTTCCGTTTGAACATGCCTGATCCAACGTGCTTCCCTACTTTAAACCGTACTTCGTGGCTGAAGAGGCTCGAGGAGATCGGTCTGCAAATAAATCAGATACGGTAACGAGCCTCTGCTACGCTTTGGATCATCGTACAACCTTGCTCGAGATCATTTTTAATGCTAGCTCTACTAACTGTTCATCGAAACGGCGTGAATCATTTCCAAGCTGTCGATGTAAATTTGGCAGGTTTCGTTTTCGTTTGAACGGTCGGTAACACGCATCGATGATATCCTTTGACTTGAGTATTATTAATCGAATCGACGTTTCAAATTCTGTCGAACATCTGTAGTTGGTAGATTTTTCAATATTAGCATTTTAAAGAATTTTGAAGAATTTTAGGTTAAGAGAACGAAAATTTGTACAATTCTTTTACCTTGTTAACATAACCTCTATTACAACTTTTTCCGAAATTTCGTCATAATCTTCTCCGAGTAAATTACGTGTTTAAACACATTCAGACGAAAATACTGTGTGTGCTGGATTCGTTAAAACTATTGTTTCATTCTCTAAACACACGCCGCTTAACAAGGCTCACGTCCCATTTAACTGCCTCCGATGAATTGACAGATACCATCGCAAGATTGTCCGTCAACTCATGGGAACAGACAATGTGTTACCCCGAGCTGTACGCATACCTCACTGAAAATATATCCCGACAGAAAGAAATACCGCCCCATAAGTTTTACCTCATTACCGTAAATTCGAATGTTTATTGCCTCAACAAAGATATTTCTGTATGCTGTATGAATGATGTAGTCTTTATAAAAAAGAAAAAAAAAACAAAGTTACTCTGATCCAATGATCGTATTTAATACAGCGGAAAAATAACCTCAATAACTAATGCGTCATATTTTTCTATCCTCATACGTTTCTTACTCATGCCCTCGAAGTTACCATATATTTTCCTCTCTTTCACGTTTAACTAATATACTTCGCATATCTATTTTCGACACGTTTTACTTCGCCTAGGTTGTTTCGGTATCACAGTGTCAATATTATTAACGCGAAAAAGGTTAGCCGGGTACGAAGTACTTCCGTTTCTGTGACGCGGAATTTCCGGCCTGCGCGCCCCCAACGTAAAGAGGTCAGTTGTTGCGCGGCCGGCGAGCATC